GGGGGGGGGGGGGGGGGTTACATTCTTGATCTTTTAAATCGCAACCTGCCGAGGTTAAATCCACGGAAGTGAGAATGATTGCGGCTGACAAAAGTGATTAAGCTAACCTCTCCGATCGGGTCCAACTGTCCAGTGGACGGTGGCCTTAGTCTGGACTTCTGAGTAAACAATGAGGGAGTTTTTTTCTTCCTTTTTTTTTTTTAAAGAAATCGAGGCGTCAGAGCGGAGAGTCCTGATCTTACCAGTGTCCGTGCAGGGTGAGGGCGGCGGCCAGGGAGTAGTCGATGGCCGGCCCGGGGCTGTAGTAGGCCACGGGGCCCATGGCCAGCAGCACGATGCTCAGCGCCCGCTCCGCCGTCCAGTGCAGGGACGCCGCTTTGGAGTCGGAGCCGGCTGCGGAACAGGACAAAGGTTGTGTTAAAAACGCTCGTCTTCTCGGACTCGAGGTTTATTGTCAGCCGAGGCTGTGTGTGTGTGTATGGGGGGGGGGCCTATGGTCACTCTGTGGAGTGGCGTGGACAGCCCCAACGCTCGTCTGGAATCGTTTTGTTCTTTTCGGGGTGTTTTTGGGGGGTGGGGGGGGTTTGTTTTCCTGACGAGAAAAAAGCCGTCGGTCAGCGCCAATGGAGCCACGTTTCCCGTCGCCATGGACACCAAGACCTCCACACCGCGTTAGCACAACAAGAACGGTGACTAAAACGAATCTGGCTTAGCTCAGCTAGTCTTTAACCACCAGAGGAAGCGTGGGCCATCTGTTTCTATGTAAAAGAAAAAAAAAACCTGCTGCACCTGCTCAAATGCTGGTTTTTCAAAAACATTCTAACGCCATTTCAGCTCTACGCCGCCGATTCCGCCACCGCAGCGGCGGAACATATGCAGGTCGACCACATTTCCACGTATACTTTATTTTAGTTGTCTTAATTTCCCTCTCTTACTCTACTTTTATCCTTCTCTTTTTTATTTTTAATCTTTGAGTTTGTCTTGTGTGGAGGTGATAATTGTGTCTTATGATTCGCTCAAATGGCCTGTACAGCGCTTTGATTTTAGCTTTGGCTGACTGAAAGCGCTTTATAAATAAAGTTGAGTTGAGAGTTGAGTAAATGTTTCCATTTTGCGTTTGCCGGCACACTATGAGACTGACGGGCAGACTACAGACCGATTGAGCCAGACAAAAAAAAACACCGTGAGCATCCCTGCTGCTGTCAGGATTTACAACATCTGCCCCGCACGAAGTCTGTTGTAACCTTAATGGTCACTTACTTGTCATAATTTGTTAACTCCTCCGATAAATTCCTTCACTTGTGCCTCTACTCGGTTTGTGTTTTTCCCTTTCTGTCCTTGTGTGTTGTTTATACTGCGGCAGTAAGGTGTAATTCTCCCCACTTGTGGAACAATTAAATACTTCAATCTAATCTGATCTAATCTATAAAACTGGCATTTGGCTTTATGTACGAGGGAAGGGAGTGGAACTTTCAGGTTCAGAAATGGGTCAGAGATTTCGTTTTAACCGCGGTAATGTCTGAGGTTGGAAACTTTCAGTTGGTTGTTTGTTTTTTTTCCGGTTGGCAAAGCAGAGTTTCCTGTGCCCCCGCTTGCTTAAAGGTCGGCGTGGCCAGACTAACCATAGAGAGCTTGTGACGAATGAATCCTGGCGGTCAGCAGGTGGGGCTGCTCCTGGTATTTGTGTGGTACGGCCACGGGTTTGGCCAGCAACGTGCTCTGGTAGAACAGCGCTGAGGACAGAAAAGGGGAGAACCCATCAGTGCGTGCAGCAGATCAAGTAAAGGAAGCACAAACTACCAGATTCAGTATTAAGTTTCTCAATCAATCTGAAAAAAAAAGACATTATTTATTCTGTATAATAACAGAAATGCATTTAGTGAACAACCTCTCGCTGATCCAGTCTCAAAGCCTTTCTTATACGCAGTAAAATCCACACTTAAAATGTGAAAGGATATAAACATTTAATGGACACTTTTTTTTTTACATGTGCAAATGAAATTCTAATTTCTGAATCCTTATGGTAGCATTCAAGGCTAAGTGGTGTTATATTGGTGATATTGGTGTACACACAATTTATGTATAAAGGGACTAGGGGCCCATGCAGATCATTGTTTAAAAAATACAAGATAAAAACAACAATTCCACGAATATCAGTAGCTATTTATAGATGAGTAAACGAACACCCAAAGACTAGCCGATAACAGAATCTGAAACATTTCATTTCAAAACTGGGAAAATCAGCTTGATAACCAGGTTGGGAAATCTAGGACTATTTCTGTTCTGATGGTGCTCTGGTGGTGTTCTTCCTCAATGTGACTAAGACAGGAGGGCTTTGTCATTCTTGCTTTTCAGGAGAAGGGATCTCCACCCCCTTCATTATAAAGCCTATCATGTTCAGAGCTAAGGTGTTTGGCGGCAGTGTTCCGTTGACGTCATTGTTATTGTTTTGAACCAATGAGCAAATCCCTTACATGATGAGTTGGTGTTTTAAGGAAAAAAAGATTTCCAAAATAAACGTTGGCAAAAATATGGCATGCATACGATTTTTTTTTTCAATTAAGGTAATATTTAAACTAAAATTGTGTGAACACAAAACATAAAATACATGAAGGCATAAAAAAAGGAAACATGTTCCTGTCCTCCTGCTCTGAGCATCTGAAGAAGACCAGCGAAACCACTCAGCGAGCGGTCAGTAAACGCATCAGCGTTGACGTACAGTTACAGTGTTTTCCGGTTTCTAAACTGCTCCGTAGTAATCACCAGCGATTCACCCAGGCGTCCGTACGAAGGTCGCAGGATAACGTGGACGCACGTTGCCCTGTAACGCCGGACTGACATTGTCTTAGTGGATGTCATCATGGTGGAAACTGTATCATGGGCTTCCACGACTAAACGTTTTTAAGGAGGCTCTGAGAGGCTCGAGTTACCGTCTTCTCGACATCACTGACTAGATAAAGGAACTAACAGCATAACCTTTAATAATGACACCAATATATGGTTGACGTGAACTTGAGCGTGACACCGTCCGGCGGGCGTGATTTGTTGCCACGCATCCATAAACCACCTCTCCTCTATTATACGTCCTACCGGCAACACCTCGAGCTAAAGCCATAACATTAATCAAGATAATAACTTAAAGATTAATACAAAAAGGGCAACACTTACGTGTAATTCCCCTGCGATACATAGAACTCAACCGAACGATGGCCGCCATGTTGATTTACCAACCAAGGTCACTAAAGTTACCCGGAAGTAGTTGATGAGTCATCACCACCAAAGACATTGAACATTCGAAATATATAGCTCCATGAAGCTATAAAATTGTGACTGACGAGGGGTGTACATCCAATTATTTTTTATGAATACCCGAGTAAAAAGGTCCACGAAATCAAAAAGTATTTCCTTTGTGAATCGCGTTCAATGAATGAAGAATAGCACGTTTTAATAAATAAATATACTCGCAGCCCGATGTAAATATTTGTTATTGCTTATTATCAATAACCATTGTTAAATAGTTTTTACACCATCTATTTTGATCGCATTCCGTTTAACGTAAAATAAAACGTCTCCCAAAACATATTGAATAAATCAACCGTATTGATTATTTTATTTACAACCCCTACCAAGAAAGTTGTTTCCATATTAAAGTAATAAAACGGTACAAATGTTGGTTTTAAGGAAGGATCTTGACTTCATAATGTATAGTAAACTCGTTCGTGACGTCCAAACATCTTTAATAACGTCACTTCCTTAGCCGGGTTCAAAGCGCAGATCTACAAACATCACTGACGAGAAACCCCCGCTACGTGAGGACTTCGTTTGATTTGTAAATCAGCGCCGTTTCAGCCGCAGCAGCACCCCGTGGTTTGGAAAACGAAGGTCAGCCCCAGCTCCTCTCTGCCGCCTGAAAACGTCTCCTAAGCCGCTCTGCAGTGATATTTCTGCCGATAATGGACAACTTTGACAGTTACAGCGCTTCGGAGAAAGCGGAAGCCTCGGAACTTCAGAAAATGATCGCCATAGAGCAGCAGAAAGCGCAGTTTCAGGCTCAGGTTTGTACCATATAAGATAATCAGCCTTGTCCACATGCCAGGCCGGGGACCTCCTTCTTCTCCTGGAGACACCGAACTTTCCTGGAAAACGAACTGTTGATGGCTTATTTGCCCGTTCCACGATTTTACCTTCTACGAATGCTGCTTTCAAATGTTCATTCTTATTCGCACACTAGCATGGTTCCTGGTTGGGCTTATTCCCTCCCATTCATTATAGCTTCACGCACCTACATTACATAATTAGAAAAAAACACTAAGTCTGGTTCTGATCTCTGTGCAATCTGACAAACAAATGTCTTAACGTCCAGCCTAATGATTGCATGGTGTGTCAGTGCTTCAGTTGCATCAAATGCATGCTGTCTGTTCCTCACCAGGGACTCTTTTTGCATCTAACCCCTCTCCTATGTGTCCTGCAGGTGCACAGTTTCACCGACGTCTGCTGGGACAAGTGTGTGGACACTCCGGGCTCCAAGCTGGACTACCGCACCGAGACGTGCCTGGTGAGCTGCGTGGAGAGGTTCATCGACACCACCCTGGCCATCACCAACCGCTTCACACAGATGGTTCAGAAGGGAGCTCACTGATGATGGACTTTAAAGGGACTTTGCTGCGACATAGAGAGTTTTGTTATTCCCCCCCCTGGTGATGGGGGATGATATACAGAGGTCTTTGTCATTGTGGTGATTTTGTGTAACCAGGAAAACCTCAAAGTGATGGGATGTAAGTGGAGAGACACATGTTAACCGGTTTAGCTATTCTAATTCTATTATATGAAAAAAAAAAAAAATGGAAAAAAATGACCCTAAAGGCTCTGGAATATATTAAAATCTTTAAATAGTTAAAAAGTGTCTCTTGTTCATCTCTCTACAACAAGCACTTACGTTCTGGGGTTCAGTGATCACATGCTGTTTATATTTGTTCTACAATGACAACTGTCCACCAGCCCCAGATCTGAATAGAATTAGTCCTTTTGGATCGTCAATTTGAGCCTTTTCCCCCGCTTTTTTGTTTCCAGGATGAGTAGTTCTAACTCCCACAAACATCGTGCAGCTATTAAGGGACCCAAAAAGATGTAACGTCCAGTAGTTAACTAGCTAAAAATTCAGAACATGGTGGAGCACTAATCTCTGCTGAAGACACTAGAGACTACTTTTGTTTGTTACCAAGTTCAAATCCCTGAAAATGAACAGAACATGTTTTATTATTTCAAGGATATAAAAAATGTATCAGTCTAATTAAAACCAGACTCTTAAATTAGAAGTTACCTTGTTAGTTTTACTCAAATTGTACAAAACTGAAGTTCTTAAAACCATGCATGCACAGCCCTGCATATACAAAAAATTTTTAAATGGAAATTAATACAACCAACGTCACAAAGATTACAAATTTTTTGCTGCGAATAAAGTTAAATTGTATTGCTGTGTATGTTTTTAGCCGCTCTGAGGGCCGACTTCATGGCGGTCTCGATCCAGCCGTGAGGTTTGGCCGTGTGCTCCCCGGCAAAGTGCACCCTCCCCTCGCTCTGGAATAATTCATTGGCGTAATGTCCCTGCTGGTAGGGCGTAAACAGAGCAAAGGCTCCGAGGCTGTGAGGATCCAAGCCCCACTTCTTCACCAGCCCGCCTGTCCACAGAGGTCGGATGTGCTCCCCGTGGATTTTGACCAAGTCCTCCAGCACCACCGCCATCAGCTCCTCCTCGCCCATCCCCTGGAATAGGGTGGAGTCGTCTGAACAGGTGTAGGAAGCCAGGAGGGCTCCCGCGGCCGTGCCGGCCGAGCTGTGGCTGGGGTAATAGATGAAGCGGGAGGGCCGGTCGGTGATGCTTTTCCCGCCTCTGATGCCCTCGCTTTCCCAGAAGCGCTCCTTGAAGCTGAGCACCACCTTGGTGGAGCTCGTGTAATGCACGGAGCGCAGGGCCTCCATCTTGTCCCCGGACAGCGGCGGGTGGAAGTCGATGAACAGGGTGGACTTGGCCGTGGCCGTGACCAGCACGTAGTCCACTGCGAGGTCACGCATGGGCCCCGACTTGACCGAGTCTTGGTACGTTACAGTCACCTCGCCCCCCCTGGTTTGGTTGATCAGCTTCACCTTGGAGTTGAGGAGGACGGTCGCATTTAACACCTGGTAGAAAGCTCTGGGAAGGTGGTCAAAACCATCTGTCACTTCGAAATACCTGCGAAAAAAACAAACACCCGTTGGAAAGCTTTAAAGACAGCGCTGCACCAGTTTCAGCTTTGTTTTCAAGTTTTGGTTCTTCCATGTTTAAAGTTCAATTCGATTCAATTCAGTTTTATTTATATAGCGCCACATCACAACAACAGTTGTCTCACAGCCCTTTCCAGACAGAGCAGGTCAGACCCTACTCTGAGGTTAACTACGGAAACCCAACAATTCCCACCATGAGCAAGCACTAGGCGACACAGGCAAGGAAAAACTTCCTTTTAACAGGCAGAAACCTCGAGCAGAACCATGGCTCAGGGTGGGCGGCCATCTGCCTCGGCCGGTTGGGGGTGAGGGAAAGAGAGGGCAAGAGAGAGAGGGCGAGAGAAGGACAGAGGGAGCAGAGAGAGGCAGCCAACACAGCAACACGTAGACTAGATGAAAAATGGCAATGATATTAATACTAATGATAATGGTAGAAGTTATGACAGCAATAACACTATACAGAGTAGTAGCAGAGCATGAAAGTTGTATCTGCTAATGATAAAAAAATGAATAAAATCGACATATTCCTATAAACTCAACACTTTTGAGTATACTGCAATTTTAGTTTGACCCAGCACGATTGCAGCCCCACAATGGCTTTGAAACGGATCAGACAAATACAAGAAAAGTGGATATTTCCTGCTTCCAATGTGTGTTTTTCCTGTTGGCCGGTCTGCAACTAGCAAAACATCAAGACTAACCATAAACCCCGACTGCCTCTGCCATTAAATCTCAATAAGTGTCTCAGAACACATTAGTATTTACAATACCACAACACAATACTGTAATAAAGTATATCTTACTCAGTGTTGTCGTTGATGTCTGACTGTATATATAGCATCTCAATCAGTGAAGTATAGAACAGGCTGTTTTCATTCAGAATGTCCCCGATCATCCTGAGAGCAGCTCGACTCAGATTGCCCTCCTTCACCAAATATTCCTGTTGGTTTTCAAATGTGAAATATAACTCATTAAAACGGCAGATTTTTACCAAATCGTCAAATAATGTAAAAACGAAGGAAACGATGTTTACCTTCACTGTGTAGGAGTCATATTTATCCAACATGGCGCTGCAGCCAATGGCCTTAAGGTCATCCCTCACCTGGGAAAAAGGTTTATATCCCCTACAATGAAATCTCTATCCGTGTGCCGTGTCAAATTAAATAAAAGACTCCACCCCAAATGTGTTCAAAAGCAACTTTAAGATCATTCGTAGAATAGAAAACAGACCTTCCAGAGCGTCTGGCCGAAGAGCTCAGCGGCTGACATCCCCCTCTCTCTGTCATTCAAGCTGTAATTGAGCACGCCTGGGTTGTTTTGCACTGCATAGGTTTTGTGTAGATTTCCATTTACCAAATAGTAGGTGTTGATGTCATCTTGGATGAACCGGTTAAGGGAAATTTTCAATTTGGAGATGACGGTCAGCAGAATCCTGTAAAGTGAACAGCCTCTTTTAATACTCACACATACATACTCATACATACATTAGCATAAATACACTGTAATAGTGCCACAATACATTGTTCAATTTTTTTTATAGTACTATAACACATGGTATTGATTATTCATCAAGTATTTTCATTCAAAATAACACAATTTAGGACCAATATTCCAGTTGCACAAAAACATACTTTAAAAATTCAACACTTTAATTGAGAGCAAATGAAGAATTGCAAAATAAGTGAGGGTAAGTATTGGTAGGGCGTTACTAGAGATGATTGGAGGAGTCGGTAACCTTTGACATAACTCATCTTTCTCTCATCCAAGCACTCACTTATGGAAGCTTGGGATTCTCATGGCACCCACTTCTGCGTACCAGCCCTCTCTGGTATTCCTGAATGTTTCAACTCGTCCTCCAATGCGGTTACTCGCCTCGATTATGGTCACCTTGTGGTCCATAGAGAGACGAGATCGTCACACCTCTGCCCACTACCCATTATCAGATTTTCAGTCATCTAAATAAGGTTATTTCTTCTCCACATATATGTCGGCAGACCTTATGTCCGGCATCCTCTAAAACCTTTGCGGCCGTCAGCCCAGCCATGCCGCCTCCTACGACCGCTATGCGTCGGGGGGTCTTTGCAACGGGCAGACCTTTGACCACGACGTCCAGGAGCTCGCTGTAGTCGCTGTCTTGGAGACACTCGTAGAGAGGGTCTCCGAAAATCCCGCTCACAGCAAAAATCACAACACCCACCAGAACCAGCGGAGCTGATGAATGGAGGAGACACAAAGCCCGGTGAGGGTTAAAAAGCACATTGATTGATTGGTCAGAACTGATTCCAGGGAGTATGCTGAGCCACTTTGAGGTCACCACAGTCTCTGCAGTTTCTTGTCTTTAAGAAAGGAATTTCTCTTTGATACATTACATGAATGTGGACTGCGATAGATTTAGAACCTACCGGTTTTGCACAGTACGATGTGAGACATCATCTTGAGGACAGAACCCCAATGTCTGGACCTCTTCCCTCTGTTGATGATGCTGACAGTAGAAGAGGAAAAGGAAACCTAACAAACACCAGAATATTATAAGCTTACAGAGACCAGCTAATAATACACAAACAGAGAGTTAGCGTACCACTAATGTAATATTCTCACTTTACATCCACTTATGACAAATATCTGCACGAAAACGTCCAAAAAATGTGGCTAAAAAACTCAGAATTGCAGCTGATAAATGATCTAAAATCAAAAGAGGACTGCTAGTCCTCCACTCACCTCTGCTAAAGGAAAGGTATTGTAAGTTGTTGTAGATCTATGCATGACTGAGGAGGAATGGTCTTGAGTTCTAAAGGGAGTCGAAACTTTCAAAGCCGAGACCGCATACAAAAGGTTCCCTCGAAAAGCCGGGAGAGTCGCAGGTGTGACGTTATGCACGAGGACATTTTAATGATGGATTGTGTGGCTCACTCCAGTCTTCCAGAAATATTTTCCCACACTGGCTCGAGAGTCAACCACACTGAACAAATCAGATTAGTGGGGTGGTACTAGTCATCAGCCAGAGGTGGAATAAGCACAGAAAAATGGTAACTAAGTAAAAGTATCTTCACTTTGCTTTAATTCTACTCAAGTAAAAGTAAAAGTACCCATCTAAAAATCCATTCAAGTAAAAGTAAAAATGACTCAATTTAAAATGTACTTAAAAGTAAAAGTTACTTAGTTACTCTCATTTATTTGATGTAAACAAAGAAAGGACAAATCATTATGTATGGACTATTAGTCCACATAACCTTTCAGGGATTATAAAGTATAAAACTTTGTTTTGACCACCCCATAAAACAACTATAAGTGGCATGACTTGTAAATTCTATAATCCATTCTTTCCCTCCAGTGAAACTAAATTTATGCCACTAAACCAGACATACTAAATATCACCAACCAAACTCAAGGTTTCCTGGACTCTTACAAGATAAGTGATTCCTTGCTGACACTGTACTCTTCCTCATATAGAAAATATAATTGACAAACTATTTTAAGAACACCAACATTCTTAAAATTAAGTGTCAAATTCAGATTTTTACGGTCCAACTCATCCACCACAATAAAGAAAATAAAATGAAACCAAACTCAAAGTATCCAAGACACTGAAAATGGTTAGCAATCCCTTATTAACAACTCTCCCTTTCTATAGCAAACATAGAAATACACTTTTTAAAGAAATTAAAAAAGAAAATAAAGTGACCTCCCCACTGAATATTAACGTTAATACTAACATTCAACTGAAAAGCTCTTGTTGAGTTTTCAACAGGAGCTTATTTTGTTTTCTTCGTTATAGAAAATGTTATAGGCAAATGCATTATTTTTCCAAACTGTTGAGAGGTACTGTAATGAGCAAACAATTTTGAGACCACCCCATAAAATAATTTTAAAATTGAGTGTCAATTTCTACATTTTATGGCCCAACTCAAAAACCATAATGGTGAAAATGTTGAGGATATTATTGACAACTATGCTCTCTTTCTTTCTATATCAAACATAAATGATACCAATTGGCTTAATTTAAAAATTAACACATTAACACAGACTGCTGATGAAAGAAATGAAATAAAGTGACCTGCCCAATGACTTCTAAAACATTAAACTGAAAAGCTCTTGTTGGGAAAGCACATTTGGCATTGCGTTATAATGGCAATACCTCGTTTCTGTTTAAATACTAAGTACCTACTGAGGAATGGCCAAGGATTTAACTCGCTCTCTGGTTCCCAGGAATTCTCTTCCCAGTCAACCTCCTCTGTCTCGTCCATCTCTACCTCACTATCAGCCATCATCAGTTGCTTTATTTTCCGTTCGGCTGCTTTGCTTACGCATCATAATGTGGTATACAGATGGTGCATTCGATACAGATCGTGTACCTACATGTCCTGTCACCGTGGGAAATTTGCCAGCTTTCTTGCTGTGCCCTAGTTTAACATCCGGGCAATTGTTTTTTTCTGCATTTAAAAATGACTCAGTACTTGGTAAAAGTAAAAGTAAAATGACTCGTTTCAAAATCTACTTAAAAAATTACGAATTACTAACAAATATACTTAATAACTGTAACGTGAGTAAATGTAATTCGTTACTTTCCACCTCTGTCATCAGCATACCTCATTTTCTCCATCTTCACTCATTTCAATATGTGACCTGAAAGTGCTCATTCAGAGGCATCTAAAAAATATCTAAGTAAAACTTTAAGCCGCATCCAAAACTACAGCTTCACTCATAACGAAGAGCTTTATAAATGTACAAATGCTACAACAGAAATCCGTTTTTTATAAACAATAAAGAAAACATGATCGGTAGACTCACCCCTCTCCTTCTGATCAGAACACAGCGCAGCTCAGAGGAGGCTTTTAAGAGCTGCAGCAAATGAAAGCAAAAGTGAGTTGAAGGAAAAGTTTCATTTTCCTGACAAAAGCTGGGTCACATTTTCTGTTTTCCAAACTAAATGCAAAAAATGAAAGTACCTAAAACTACAATGGCCAATGTTAAAGATTTATTCTTATTTCACAGCAAGGAATTTGAAAGGTGTGCTTCCCATTTAAAGAAAGTATTTTAAAACCAAAACTAAATTAAGGGTGTTTTAATAATTTTCCTCTGGGATTATTAAAGTATTTCTGATTCTGATTTCTGATTTTGCCATTTGGCCTCAACTGGATCCTCATGTTATACTTAATTCTGCTGAGATCAACTGGTCACAAATGCTTCCACAATGTGCTTCTAAAAAGGTGAACATAACCTCTTGAGGTCATAGGTCAGATTTTAATGACCATTTTGCATCCATGGGAAAACACAGATCGCTAAACTAATCAGGCTTTGAGCGCTAAATCAGCCATAATAACATATAATGTGTAGGGTTCAGTTCTCTGAATACCATGAGAAACCAGAGGCTTAGCTTTAAAGTCAGGTCAGGCCTGACAGGCTATGAAGGTTCAGGAAAAAAAGCTCCACAACAACTGGAAAAGTCAATGAGCTATAGGCTACATTTGCAGGTGAGCTGCAAGATAAAGATTTGTATTTCTTAATAATTTTCTAGCTCTTTACTCACTCCATTTTTAATTTTATTGGCTTGGAGCGCTAAAGTTGGATTTTGTTTTCTCCAGAATATGTCCTTTGACTCACATATAAACCAGTGTAGAATTTAAATTTCTGCTCCAGACATGTGACCAACCTCCATCATATCTCAAAGAGCTCATAGCTTGATGTTTTCCCAGCAGAGATCTTTGCTCTCAGACTGCAGGTTTACTTGCGGTTCTTAGAGTTTCTAAATGTGGAATAGGAAGCAGAAACCTTCAGTTGTATCCGTGGATCCACTTGGCAGTTTGGGTTCAGGAAGCGGACCCCTTTCAGCCTTCAAGAGTAGGCGTAACATCTTTTTCTTTTTGATAAAACTTAAACTTCTTGAGACATGATTTTAAACCAAATTGAACTGAATACGACTGAATTGAATAAGGAAATCAAAAAATAAAATGTTGCCTTCCAACCGCAGTGAAAGGCTGAATATTTGGATTGTTTCTGCATGTGACCAGGGCCATTTTCAGTCACTGAGTCCAAAATATTCAGTCAAATGTGAGGCCATCTGTCCCACAGCTTAAACTGGGCTGGAAACTCCTGTCAACAGGACAATGATCCCAAACCAAGAACCAAATCTATGAAAAAATGGCTGAAAATAAAATGAATCAAGGTGCTGGAATGGTCCATTTTGATCAGACCTCAGTCTGGTTGCAATGCTTTGGGCTTCTTTCAGAGAGTTTGTGCACAAACCAATGCTGCAAACCTCAGTGAAATGACACAACACTGATAGAAAAATTATTTTCCAGCTTGTTAAAAACATTCAACCATACTCATGACTCTACTGAAGGTGGTTACACGAGTTTGGAATGAGTGGATGAACTTAGTTTTTGTTGTAGATTCTTTGAAAAATTGATGATAGAATTATATAATCCTACCTAAAATTCACTCTCTCTATATATTCTATAAGTCTGAAAAGGATTGATTCAAAAAGGTAAATATGCATATGGAATTAATTTCATTCAGTAATTGTACACTATGTAACTTCAGATGATAATAAAGACAACTGTAGTTCCAGCTGCCCATTATAATTTCAGTGTCTAAGACTTCCAGAGCTACCAGCCACTGTATTTTTAACTAAACAAATGCTTCCAGAGGTTTTTGCTTCTGGTTATATTTACAGTAACACATTTATTTATTCCGATCAAATCTTCAAATAGCTCTAATACTTTTTTGGGTGACTAATCGCTGAATAATTGTGACGTGTTTCCTTGACAATCCAAATTATGTTTGAGATGGCCGGTTGGGAAACGCAAATTAAATAGTCGGTGTTCGAACTCAGGACTCGCTTCTACCTTTAAATGGCAAGAGTCACGTGACACGGCATTTTTCGCTCCCCGGAGCAGCGGAGGGCCGTGACGTCACCGTTGACGAATACAACACGATACAGGAAATAAACAGACGATTTCATCAAATCCGCGAACGAGTGCCTTCATATATCGAACAGGTTACATGTAATTTCTCTTTCAATAAGCTAACTACGTAGAATGTAACTACGAAAAACGCTTGCTTACCTTTCTAACATATGTGGCAGAAAATGTAGGTTCTTAGTGTTATCTACGTAACTCTAGTGTGCCATATTTTAGCTGCAAATGTGTGTCATTTGACATACAATCATATCATGCAGGTTTCCGATAAATAAGTATGATATTGCCTCCATTTTGGCATGTTTGCAGCACATAAAGAACTAACAATGTCATTTATTTTCGGCAAATCATCATTTCGTTTTGTCAGTGCTTGTGAAGGGTCTCGGATAGACTCTGAAAGAACACATTTTACGTTTAAAAATGAGGCTCCAGGTCCTAAATTGATATGCCGAATAAACAGTTGGCCTGTGTTGTAGTCTTCTCGAGCTCTAAAAGTCTTTTTAGTGGAGCTATAAGTGTTATACAACCACCGAACGTTAAGTGATCAGCTTTGTGGACGGTGTTTGGTGCGGGGTGTGATGATGACGGCTAACGCTAGAGATGTGAGCTGGTTTGTGGGCCACTGGATGAAGTTTTGTGTCACTAAACTGTCATTTCTTGATATATGATTTGATATTTGCTTAAAAATGGATCCCTGGGTTTGCCTATGGCTTATTTCTGAAACTAATCTGGCCAAAAATGCATGATCTTGCTTTAGTTCTGACCACTTACAAACAACCAAAGGACTCATCTTACTATGGATGTTTCAAAATCTGTGATTTATAATGTTTTTTGTTTTTTTCCCCCCATCAGGTTTGATGTTATCCTGGCATGCCTGATCCCCTGTTCTGCTGAGGGACCCCTGCAGGGCCATGGCTGACTTACTGGGACAACGGAGCTTGTTCGGCTTCGGTGTGGTGTTAGCATGGCTTGTTTTGTTCCACCTGCTAGTCAACATCTGGCTTTTGTGCATATTTACCAGCCTGCTGGTTGTGCTCGGCAGCTGGCTTGGCTCACACGCCATCTTGGAGTCCAACAATGTGGTTCACTTGGAAAGGTTTATCACTATGGAACAGGTAATTTTTAAAGTAGTTGTGTTTTTACAGTGTTTCATGAGTTTCGCTAATCGTTTTTGACTGGTAATTATTGTTTTATCTGTAACATACACAAGCACATATCTACTATGCGATCGTCTTTTTTATTTATTTATTTATTTTGACCATAAACCTGTTGATATTTCAGGTTCTCCCATCTGCAGAGGACGAGCTTCACCTAGATCAGGAGATCCACAACACAGTAAAAAAAATCATCCGGGACTTTGTCACCTCCTGGTACTCAACGGTGTCCTTTGAGAGTGGTTTTGAGGTGGAAGTTCAGGAGGCTATGATCTCAATGGCCATGGAGCTGAAAAAGCGTGCGGGGCATGTTGATAGGAAGGTATGAAGTTTGAGAAACATCACACAAGAATGTGTTCACAGACACTTTGTGTTATTTCTCCATCTGTGCAAAGACTTGAGCATAAAAATGTTGCTGTAAAGTGTTGGTCCTTATCACACAAAATACAAAAAAATTATCCAGATGGAAGAACAATAGTTTATTTTTAATCTTGAAATCACAAAGGCTGTGTTCAGCATATTTGTTATATAACTGTGATAAGTTTCTCAGCAGGATGCATATTTATGATTGAAGCCAAACCGATGCTATCCTTTGAATCCTTGCAGGAGTTGACCCAGAAGATCTTAAATCTGCTTGGTGGCCATCTGCAGGACTACCACCGAGCCAAGGAGCTAACGACGGAAAAACAGTCCAACGAAAGCGATCTCTTGTGGAAAGAATATTCCGGCATCACCGTGCCCCACCTCGCCACGGCTAGTGAAACGGTGGAGGTTAACTACGTCAGAGCGGTTGTTGATTTGCTGCTCCACGTCCTGGTGCCCTCGCCTCATTTAGAAACCCGCACCGGGCGTTTTGTGGTCGGCGAGCTCATCACCTGCAACGTCCTGCTCCCTCTCTTTTCCAAACTGTCCGACCCCGACTGGTTAAACCTCCTCATCATTGACATATTCGACAAGTCCTGCGCTCAGAGGGAGACCACAGCGACGGAGCCGCCGGCCCCCCCTCCGCCGCCGATTTCCGCCGAATCGGCGACGGCGCCGCCTCAACGGACGGCGGACGCCGCCCAGGCGGGCGACGACGCGCCTCCGCAAAGAGCCGAGAAGGAAGCGGCCCGCGACCCGGAGCTCTCTCTGCCCGAGCTGGCTCCCTACGATGCGCTGGACTCCGAGGAGGCGGAGTTTTTGCTGGCCGAGGAGTACGAAACCGCTCGGCCCTTTTTGAGGCAGTACATCCGAGGAAGCAAGTCGAACCCGTTCTACCAGGAAAACGACTCGGACCTGGATTCTCCTCTGACGGACAATAAACCGAGCTCCACGGACTCCTTGGTGATGATGGGTCAAGAGGAGAGCGCGTTCGATGGACAAAAAGAGTGCGCCGAGAACAGTAACGGGGTGGACCTGGAGGATGTTTCTCTTGGCCCAATGGACAGCTCTTGTCCTAAAGTCTTGGTCAATTCGGAAATAGTTGAGCATCCTAATGGCTTGCCATCCGTTAGGACAGCAGAGGGAACGTCCAGCATTAGCGGCCTGGACATGGCGGGCAGATCCCCCGTGGTGAACCAAGACAGAGAGCTGCTCCTGGGAGTAGAACAGACCGTGATGGGGAATCCTAACGGTCTGGGGGTCATCAGTCCAATGCAGGGCGGCTCCCAAATGGCGACGTTCAGCTTCGAGCCCCTCAGCAGCCCCGAAGGACCGGTCATCATCCAGAACCTGCGCATCACTGGCACCATCACAGCAAAGGAACACCGAGGCACCGGCTCACACCCCTACACACTTTACACCATCAAAGTAAGGAGGTTTCTTCCTCTTCAGTGTATCCAGTTTTTAAAATCTGCTGTTCATATCTTATTTTTAGCATTATTACAGGTCAGCTTGGTTTTCAGTTTTATTTACAAAAGGGGAATATCCAAACTCACAAAGAGTCATAGGGTACAATCCATCAGTTTAAACCCTATTAAGTCCAATTTTGTAAAAGTCATTCTTACATGTGTTAACATATACTACTCATGATAATGTTATTAGTGATAATGATGAAAAGAAAAACAACAGTGAGCATAATAATAAGGATGATAATAAAAATGATGTTAATGAGCATTGGGTCATGCTCCTGAAACACAATATTTTTCAAAATAACTGTTAAGGTTGCAGAAAGAAATGTCTTCTTTTTGGTTGAAAATTTAGTATGAATATCTAGCACAACGCAAAGAATATTATACATAAATCAGGTGACCATAATGGAGTTTTTTTTCTCTTTTAGTTTTCTTTAGGTCATGAGCAAGAGGGAGTTCTTACCACTATCTCCCATCTAAACTCACTTCCTTCTGTCCGGCTATCTAAATGAACTCTCTATTCTTTGTTGATGGAGAGTTCCACTGGACAAGACTTGTGAAACATCTAAAACAGAAAATCTAAGCAGAAGCTGCCAGTTAAACGTCAGCGCACAGATTCTCTCCAATCTAAATTGAGAAACATTTTAAACCATGCAATGTGACTATTAAACATACGGCCTAATCATATCTCTTTAAATTAAGGTGGAAAGATCATTTTTAGAATGTCTCGGTTTTAACTGAATGTTCTGTCAATAATCGGAATGTGGATGATGCTAGAAAAAGCACAGTTCGAAAGCCTGACACTTTGAGGTCTTGGTTCACAGTACGAAACTTCCGTGGGCTGTGAGAACCCAGGAATTTCTGAGGATGGCGAGCTGCTCCAGGCGGCCTGTGAGAGCGCCTCGCTCCTTCAGTCCGTGGCCTATCACATGGTCAACAGGCGATACAGCGAGTTCCTCAACCTGCAAACGCGGCTGGAAGAAAAAAATGAACTTCGGAAGCTCATCAAAGGTGCGCGGGATCAACTCCACGTCGGCTCCACGTCAATAGTCGCACACGGTCATTTAGAATGAAAGATTTTCCCCACGTAGCCTTCTTTAGAATGATAGATTTCTACCGATTTGTGTTTCCCTCCCAGAAGCTTTGATAATCTCGCTGTTTCAGGTGTGAAAGGTCCAAAGAAAATGTTTCCAGACATGCCGTTTGGAAACATGGACAGTGACAAGATAGAGGCCAGGAAAGGGCTGCTGGAGACCTTTCTAAAGGTTCATTGATTTTTTTCTCCGTAAACACACTGTTATTTGTGTTTATTGATTCACCACAACGCATTATTTTTTTGTCTCTCCGTTCTGGTTGTTTGCAGCAACTGTGCGCCATCCCCGAAATAGCCAACAGCGAAGAGATGCAGGAGTTCCTCGCTCTCAATACAGACGCCAGGATCGCCTTTGTCAAGAAGCCTTTCATCGTGTCACGCATAGACAAGGTTTATTCCCCAACGCATCTTTACGATTCAAGCAGAAGGCGATCCCAGCAAAGCTCAGGCGACGTGCTCATTTACAGTCATCCGAACGCACCATATGTTACACTGCCATTCCACAGAGATAGCTAGAGTCTGTTAGCTTTCTTGCTAGATTGTTACGGTAGTTCAACACTGATGCAATATCACAAATATCTACAAAATGTTTGTCGGATGTACTTATTCATGTTTATGTTAAAAACCGATGTTTCTAGACTATCGGTCTATAACTCAGCGTGCCTGTGCTTGTGCAGATTGTCGTGAACGCCATCGTGGACACTCTCAAGACGGCATTTCCTCGTTCGGAGCCTCAGAGCCCGACGGAAGACAACGAGGCAGAAGTGGATGGAGGGAAACTGTGCACAGACAAGAAGAAGTATGTCATTTCCTCCCTGTTGGTTTTCTAAGAGTTGAGAAGATGGTGGGCTAAAAACATACTCAAAGCAAGCATTTCAGATTTTCGATCATTTAGTTTCAGGTGAGGGAAAAGACAAAGATGACCTCCTCAGGTCTTGATGCGTTTTTTCATGTACTATAGTTTTACCAGCCGATGAATTGTTCCCAAATTGGGTAGACAATCAGTATTTCTAATAATACTGCAGTGAACTACATTATTACACTTTAGCACAGCCAATTATAATGAATAATTTAGATGTGTGTGCTTATTCTGTTCATTTTCACTAATTTATACCAGGAAAGAATACCACAGAAAAAAAGTCTATTAGAAATTACGAGCATATTTACACATATACACATATACACATCGTATTTCCTTATGAATTAGTACATTTATCCTATAAAATAGATATATATTATTTATATTTATAATTACTTAGATGTATTTCCTTTATCAGGAATATGTTGATTTAATCTCACAAAAAATAGGAATGAAGACAAAGTGCACCAGAGTGAAATTAATAATGAAAACATTTTAAATAGATGAATGTGTTTTCATGACATAAATACAAATAACAAGAAATTACATGCTGGTTGATTGGAAAGTGGCTGGAACGTGAAATAAATGCATTTTTTGTGTTATTGTTAAATTGCATTAATTCAAGTTAGTTTTCAATGTTAGTATTTATTCACTTTGACAGTTTTTAATTAGATTTTTTCCAAATGGTAATTATTTTTTCCCTCACTATATCGATTTTTTAAAATTCTTTAGTACTTTTCATTTCCATCATACTGAGTTATTCCCCTTGAAATGAATAGTTTCTCTATATTATTGTTGTTTCAACAGGCATTTTTTAAATGAAGTTTTTAGAATACATTTTCTCATGAGTGTAAACCCACTAAATGTATACCGCAGCCGATAATTAACAGAGCTTTATGATAAAACCTGCTTTGCCCGACCTGCCTCAAAGTCTCAATGAGCAGGTTATGAACTCTGAAACCTAAATGTTGGACGTCTAAGGTGTTTTACCTTCATGTGGTTATTCGTCTGTTTGTGTGATCTCAGGTCTCGTCTGAAGCTCTCTGGGAAAAATATTCCTCTAGTTAATGGCACAGACACAAGACCGGCAGTTTTGTTCAAGTTGGACCAAACAGGAACAGTAAGTTTCTCTTTCTCTTACAATGTTAACCCGCTGTATGAATAAATCTACATCAAAACGCTCAGTTTACTGGTATTTTTCCTTATGTCTGATATGAAGTTTCTGAGCTGCATCAAATTTTGTCTGGATCAGGTTGTTCAGTGGGGTAGGAGGCACAGCCGATGGTCTTCCAGAATGTGTCCGTTTCTGAATTAGTGCTGACAAATCTCCCCTAGCTGGTGTAGGTCAGAGGTTTATTAACACCTCGCCTGCGCTCCGCTCTGGGATGTTTATAGCAGTGTTTCCCAAACCCTGTGGCTTGAGGACCAGCATTAGGAAATACTGGATTATCGAATCTATCATTACTTTCTCTTTCAGAGCATCTTTGTATATGGACTCTGGTTTAAAATAAAAAGCCCCACAGCGAAATGTATTTATTTTACTGTGCTGATTGAAAGTTTTCCTCTTTTTCACTTCTCTTGTTGTCCCTCTAAAGGTGTTTAATGGGATGTCTTTGGGAGATTTGCAAGCTTTCATCAGCGAACAGGAAAATGTGAGCGGTAAAGCCATGGCAGTGAGGGAGGGAAGTCCAGTGTCAAAGCCCTGTGGAGCCGCTCTGGATCACACTATGTTCAAAAAGCAGAGTCAGGAACATGGTAAGGAGCCTTGTTGCTTAGAAGGTTGTATATATGCTGCAGAGTTAATGTTTTTTAACTATTAGAATAAATAAAAAATCCTTAAACTCTTTATGTTTTTGCAAGAAGCTCATTTTGGCTAATTGTGTAAATTGGTACCATGCTGACATGCGAGAACCTTAGTAAAACTTGTGAAATCCATTGTTAAATCTTAAATTTCATCATCACTTCAGTCATTTACTCTGACTCACTCTGGTTTGTCTGCTTTCGTTTTCCTCTCTCTGACCAACTTAATGCCTCACTTCCCATTTCCAGTGTATGTCTCACCATTATTATGTGGCCATGCAGCAAAAGTCTACTCATGTATTTTCAGTTTTCTCAGACCACGTGTGGTCGCAGTAACTGAAAACTCCAAATTCTGTGGCGGAGAATAATCTCAGGCGCCAATGCAGAAATTAGAAATGTAATTTTGTTACAAAACCAGATATATATGCTTGATGTCTCGTCCTTAAACAAACATCTGCATATACACAGCAAATGTTTTTATTAACACCATATCAAATATTGTCATAATTTTTATGAGCAATTGCCAAAGTCCACTGAATAATAACTTTTTTTAATTGATTCTCTCTTTCTGTTTTTCTGGTGGATTGGCTGAAAAGCTTGAAAGCCCTTCTTTGACAGTAAAGGAGCTTGAGTTTGAGCAAATGGGTTAAATTCTCTCATCTTATAGGATATATAATGTAAACCAGCGCATTCTGGATGTGACCACACGGTGGCAGTGTTCACAAACGTTTGAAGTGGAGCTCAGCTGCTCATGATACCTGCAACTTCCTTAGATTATAATGTCCAGTTTTAGTTTTCCATCATTTAATGCGCTCCATTATGTTGGGTCAACATAAAGTTCGACCTGAACACCTGGTTTTTGTCCTGTGCCGTGCTGGTGATAGTAGGACGCCGTCTGCCGTGTGTGTTAACGCACGTTTGGCCTCTTGCAGGTGCAGCAGGTGAGATGGCGCTGACCGAGGTGGCGCTGAACATCTTGTGCCTGCTGATGAAGGACCAGTGGAGCTGGCTCTGCTCCGAAAACGTTCAGAGGACGATCCGGCTGCTGTTCGGAACTCTCATTAACAGGTGACGCGCGCGCTCTGTCCTTTGAACGCTTATGTGAAACCCACAGTAGGGTTGTAGAAGGAAAAAAAAACGGAATATCTTCTGATAAAAGTCAAGTGGAAAACGCAAAAGGCATCCGACAGATGACACTTTCTACGTAAACTTTCAAATAAATCCAACCCCAGTCCACGCGTTCTGTTTCCTGCTAATGACAACGTTGCACAAAAAGATTTTCCACTGAAATCAGAATATCCAAAGTAATGATAATATTATGCTTAATAATAATTATTATTATTATACAAATGGCTGTGGTCCAATGACCAGTAAGGGCAAAAATGTATCTATAGTAAAAAAACTAAATAAAATAAAACTAAAAATATTAATAAAAACAAACAAATATATATATATATATATATATATATACACACACACACAAACACACATCTGCAGGCTACAATACAATAGCTGGGTGTGTCCACATTGTAAAAGCATTCATGACTGTGTTTTTCTTGCGTATAAACCCTTAGCCAGCTGTAAATAGATTAAAATAGGCAATCATGCTCCAAGAATGAGGATCGTTTGTTTGGAATGATTCGGTGAGACGTCGGGCTGTGGTCCGGGTTGTGTTTTCCAGCTAACAGCTCGCAGCTGTTGTCATCCACACTCATTTGTTGACCGAAAAAATCGATTCCTCATCATTCCTTAGCGTTATTTATTTCTCCTCGCTTTGGTGCTTTGCCAGTGAAAACAGGACTGATGATGATCGTGCAGAATTTGAAGTGTGCACACTGAGTTGAAGCAAAGTAGCACAACTAAAGCTATCTATCTATCTATCTATCTATCTATCTATCTATCTATCTATCTATCTATCTATCTATCTATCTATCTATCTATCTATCTATCTATCTATCTATCTATCTATCTATCCTAACTTTTGGATTTGGCTCTAGGTGCTCAGTTTTTCTTCTTTTCAACGTTTAAAAACAGCCCCATGTAGATCTTTCCAGTGAGCCTGGCTGATGCCGGTGGAGCTTAACGTGTCTTTAACAAGGACTTCTGCTGCAAATAAATGATGGAAACATCGACATTTTAGGGGGCCGCTGCGTCCGCACTGAGCCAGGTCAGGACACGCAGACACATTTTCCTAGATGGGATTCCACAGAGAGGGCTGTTTATGAGCCGGAGAGGGGACTCTGGCGCTCACATGGTCATTAGTCAAAAAGGAGTTGATATTTCAGACAACAGCTGACTTGGAGCCTTTGCAGTTATCTGCATCTTCAAAACATCAGGGGTGTTACTAACGACGCTTAGTACACTTATAAAGAAACGCTTATAAAGAGGGCTTCTGCTTTCCATCAGTCCAGGCCCCCCTTTGCTTGTTTGGCCCTGAATACAATACCTCCACATAAAGTCCCCCCAAAAATCTGCAGAGCTGCCGCGGCCAGGATTCGGAACACGGAGACAATATTCTCAGGTTCAAGTGTGCGGTGACCCCCCGTTCCCTCGGGTGTCAGGAACAGAATATTGTTTCTTCTTATTTATACTGGGCCCTCTATTTTAAGAAGTTCCACCAGCCAAGTATGAGAGGCCTTGTGCTTTTGTTTGGCCCTGTCTATATTAGGCAGCAGTCTGTCAGCGTCGCATTGAAAGCTAATGCCGTAGCAGCTTTCTCCCCTCATCTGCCAGTTTCTATGTTCAGAGGAGATGAGAGCGAGGCTTTTGCTAGAAATTCCTCTGAATCGAAACAACAAGCAATGCATATTTACAAGATTTTTGTTTTGGATTTGACCATACTTCTATATTTCCATAAATAGGCAAATAAAACTGTGCAATTGATCGTTGTTGTATTCCTTGATTACATATACAACCAGGAACCCATAGAAAAGTGGTTCTGCTGAAATAGCATTCCCTAATGGTCATCCTAGACTTGCTGTTGTGTTTTTGGATGCACTCTGCATAGGAGAGAGACAGAAATGGCGCAATTTTAGTGTCCGCTCCCAAGTGAGCCTTCAAACTCAGCCTTTGCTGAGCTGAGACAGAATGTCAGGCTTTTGTTCTCAAGCATTTTTCACTTTTTGGATTCCAAAAGATGTTTGGATGTAGCCTCACTTGATTACATGAAGTCATTTCTAAACGTTTGCCAACAGTTTGTTTATGCTGTAAATTAGCTTCACCACCCCATAGCAAATACACTCAGCTGTTCACTGATCTTCTGTCGACAGTCAGATGGATTGCTATGCTTATGAAATCCATCTCAGACAACGTTTGCTGCGATATGATTTATTCAACTTTGAAAAGGTGCCATTAGAGAAGAGGTGAGGTATGCAATTTCAATCCAACACATTTATTAGCACCCCTGAGGCCTTTGTAACAGCTTGAAAAATAAAGGCATGATTGATACAGTTCCCTTTATTATTTTAATCAAAAAGCCGTTTCTGCTTGTGTTGAATCCACCCCACCAACACCAAAAATCATTATGTGGTCAAATTCACCATCGGTTTATTGGAACATAGTCCCTGGACTGCATCTACAGGATTTTAAACATCTCACCACTACCTCATGGTTACCAGGATGGTCATCCACACTTCCTTTGCTGGGCGGTGATGATATGGACTCAGAAGTAAGCACAAAAAGACTAATGACCAGTGATGGGATCTTTTTTTTTGTTTCCATTTGGAAAATTGGGACCATACTCGCATTCAAACAAAAGAAAAGGAATAAGCTGGATCCAAATCTAAGTCACAGTTTGCACAATGCCTGGCTCCTCTCGTTGCTTATTTTCCTTACAAAGATCAGTTTCCCTTAAAGATGCCACGTCATGTCAGGTATCTGTTGCAGTGTTAAGCATTTTCTCAAACCCGCTTAAGAAAAAATAAAAAAGTTAATTTAGTTAGCTACCATAGAGTCAGTCTATGTATGCAGTGTGGTGTTTTTATCTGCAAATGTCAATTTGGCTGTTTTGTCGTTTAACTGAAATCAAGTGGTTTGAAAGTTTTCTTACAATCCGACAGGTGTTAGGCGGGAGACAAAACACATCCATGCCAGCCTTCTGTCGTAACGCGTGCGTGTCTGTCAGAATTTAATTTGGAACCGAAAAGATAGGAGAGCTGGGAGAGCTGAAAGCCAAATGTGGGTCTCTGTGTGAGTGTGTGAGACAAGTCTGGCTGGAAAAGCTCATTCCTGCTCCCATAAATGGGGTCCAAGATGAAGCTCTGGTTTGGGGATGTGTCTGATTTTTATGGTTGGAAAGTGGGACATTTCAACATGAATATAGTTTCTTTGTGTTAGGCTGCAGACTGGATGGAAAATCCAGCTGGAGCCATCTCTGGATGGACTCTTAATTTTTCCCCGTCAACAAAATGCTTCCTGTGTTTGCCAATTAATGTGGGGCGTCTGTCAGAATGTAAATTATTACAATGTTTTTTACTTATTTCAAGTTTGTACAGTGATGGGCTTAACCCACAGTAGGCTTAAACCTAACCTCTAAAAGCTTTATGCTCAACTAAGTGTAATGCATCTAGGTTATTATGGAGAACCCTAGCCAGATAAACAATAATCATAGCAATTAATCACTGTCTGTAAGCAGTTTTTCTGTTGAACCGTGGCCAGAAAGACAGCGTAGATGTGAAACATTCCCAATTTGGGTCAACAGGATGGGTCACACCTGCTGACAGTCCTATGTGGTGCTCTTTGTCCATGCATCTGGAGAACTAACTCCAGAACTTTCCATATTAGTCTAAATCAGTTTTGACTTTACATACCTCCATGCCATCTGTCTGCACCAGTTTCATAGTACCACGATTCTTTATTTTGACCTTCTAAAGCAGCATATCAATGCTTCCGTAAACAATTCATACGGCGCCGCGAGTCCTCGCTGACAGCTTGACGATGGAGGTGAGGGTGAAGGGGAGACGGGGGGATTTAGACCCTGTCACCAGTTCTCACATCGAGCGGTCTCACTCTGTCTTTTTCTTGTTCTGGTTCTGCTTCTATCACTCTATTAACGAGCGCCTAGGGATCTCACATCAAGCGTCCAGTGACCTGCTTAGGTTTCTCAAGCTGCGAACAAGTGCTTTCTGTTTCTCTGTTGCTCAGTTTAGCTGATGACCGCATCGTGGCATTTGGAGAGATTTCTTAAAAGATAGACAGTATTTTGTCTTTGCAATTCTCTGTGAGGCCAGTTTACTGGTGTTCTATTCATACCATCCCTATGCTAAGGTTTCATTCGGTTTTTAAGGAGTCTATGAATCCTTCCTCTAAACGAAACCAGGGTATTGTAGCATGGGAAAACCTAACCATGAGAGAGACCATGTGTTTAGGGATATCATTAACTACATTTTTCCTGTTTGTGTGAACACCATATTAAAATATGGAACAAGATCAATCATATACCAGCCTTCATTAACAAAAATAATTCACTCTGCAAAGAGGATGGCTCAGTTTTCGAGGGTCTACACTGGATAACGAAGAGTGTCGTTCAGTGGAAAGAGGCTGAGATAGCTTGTTTTTGTAATTTTAGTAGCATAAGATCATTTAAAAAGCTGAAGTTCTGAAGAATAAGAGGTATTATTGGGATCAAGTGTCACAAATGAAAATGATGACTTGTGTGTGACATTTCACTTTGTTTGGTTTCAGGTTTACTGAGAATTTTTACATTAAATAAATTAAATTTCCCCAAAATAATACAGAAATAATTACAGGATTAGCAGATTAAAAAGAAAGTTACCGGTAAATTAATTCTGAGTTATGAAAACTAATTGAGTGACAAAGTAAATGAATAGCTAAATGAACAAATTTATATTAAAAATACATAGTTATTACAGTATCAGTTGTTTTATTTATTCGGTAGCACTTATTCTAATTTAAACATATTGATTTAGTTGTTTGTATGTTTACATTGTTTTTGGATTATAAGACTGTTTTAATCTTCCACATGAGCTAAATTTTAAATGTTTATTTAGATTTTTTGTGTGCACAAAACAGAATGATAGCAGTTTTTCAAAAGTGGATCAGTTTTAGCCCAAATTAGGGTTCCATGCAACTCCATGCTGCCATGCTTTGAGCAGTTCCATAAGTAATGGCAAATGATTTATTTCACTTCTGTTTCCATCAGAAGCAAAGACTTGTTTACTATTCGTCTAGAGATAGAAAGATTTATTGACATGAACTGGTCCAGACATAAAAAAAAAAAAAAACATTATGAATAATTACGAATGTGAAAATGCACCAATTCTAACCTTTTAGTCTTCTCAGTGATTTCCGCATATGATTTTCCTAAAGTGTATTGGGTTAAACATGGTCCTAGTCTCTCATGTCAGAAGCTGCCACGCTTTGGTAATGTGGGAAAACCGAGTGATTCTTTGACTAAATCATTTAAAAGATGGAAAAAGATTGAGTTAATATCCTTATGTTTTCTGTTCTTCCTGACACATGGTTCCTGAGGCCAACGGAGGTGCTATCAGAGGCTTGGAAGCCTCATGCTTCTCTTGTCAGCAGGAATTCACTCTCAGGCTGAGAGTGTTTCTGTGGTCAGATAGATGTGTTCACATGACAGCGTTGCTGCTGGTGAGGGAAGGCGGTGTTGAACGGAGTAGGTGCTTGTTGCGTAACTCTTCAGGCTCTTCAGATACGACTTTCCCGGACAGGTTGTTCCTGCAAACGGGACAATGTCGGACGTAGTCCTCGTACTGGAATCACGCTCTCTTAAAGTTGGCAGTTTGCCCAATTTTGTAGTTTTATTTATGTCTTGAGTTCACACTGGTTGCTGCTCCCTGTCAATTGTCACTTTTGAATTGTAAATATCCTAAATCACCAGCTAAGAGTAGCTGGCAGTTTCTTTCTGTATTTATACTGGCCTATGTAATCATCTCAAGGGGGAAATTATAGGTCAGGTGGTTTGCTTCTGAAGGTCATGAAACATATTTGTCCTCCCAATGTGCCATCCGTTAAACAAGCCCGGCTATGTGTTAATTTATTCTGGTTTGGCGACAGATGGCTGCAGCCGCTCCGAAAACCTCACTTGGCAAAACACGGAAGGCGATACAGCTCATCGTGGTCCACACTTCTGACAAAGTTAGATGGAGGCAGGATGGTTGCGTGCTTCAACGCCACGGGGGGGATGCCTAAAGAATAAATTCGAAGTGATAAACATGTGTCTTAAATAAGAACAGTAGCCGGATGAGGTCATGCGTCCACCGTTGGCTTCTTCACATCCCCCCGGTGTCTGTTTTCAACACTCACCTGAGCCCGAGATGTGGATCCAAAGTCGCAGTTCATGTTCTGCCTCCAGAGACATACTTGTGCAGTGATGTGAAAGTCTGTCTGCAGGCTTATTTTAGCTGTCGTACTCGTCTGTGTTGACCTTAAATGGTTATAAGGCGAATCCGGCTACAATCATCTAAAAGCACAACACCATAACTGTTGTTTTTCCTTGAAGTATATGCTCTCCTTTGTTCAAATTGGAATTTTACTCAGCAGGCCTTGGTGAAAAGTGATTGGGTTCGCATTATATCATTGAATCACTTGATCCAAACAACAAATGGGCAAAAATGTGTAGGTTGTGCACTCGTAGATGTAATGTGAAGTTATTATCATTCTCTCCTATTCTTCTGAGGGCATCTTCCCCCTGTCTTTGTCCCTGGGAGTCTGGGTAGTAGTATTTAGAGAATGGGTGTATACGAAAGGCAACTGGGAATCCACGGACATTTATTTGTACACTGAGACCAAAAGGTGCAGCAATTTGAGAAAACCTGAAAACTAACTCAATGAAACCCAAAAAACTGAAGAGAAACAGAACTTGACCATAAATGTGGAAACAAAGGAACTAGAAGTAAGCGTAGGAGACATGAGGACAACTAGCACAACTGAAAAGGAGCAAAGAAACCAGAAAGCTCAAATCAAGAGGAAAGAAACAGCTGATGAAGGGAGTGGAGCAGATGATCAGACCGGAGGGGAAACTAAGGAAACTATGGATGATGAACAAAATGAACAAAATGATGAAAAAAACGGCCTAAAAGAAACCAAAAATACACCGATCAAAATCTACAAAAATACCAGAACCCGTGACACACTTCCTCACAGAACTTTTAAAATTCCCACTGGGTTGGCGGACTGGTTTCTGCACAGCTCTTTAAAGGTCCCAGCACTGTACTTCCAAACAAGACATCCTGAATGTTTTCCACCTGTGAGTAATCTTTCTCTGTGCAGAACGAAGCGCTCCAAAAAGTTTGGAAATGGCCTCATAGGCTTTCCCAGGTTGACGGCCAGCAAAAAAATGCTTCTCTAAGATCATCAGAGACAACAAGTACCCAAACAC